TTCGCCATCTCTTTGTGTCCAGCGTAAGGCTTGGTCTTAGAATCTCTCATGTCCTTTCTGGCTAAAGGTTCTAACAACCATCATGTCCTATTACTATTATAATATGTCATCTTGCTATATATACCCTAACAAAGTAGAGATCATTGAAGAAAATTATGTTACAAGACTGAAGTATAATTAGCATTGCTAATAAATGGCAGTAACTGGAAATAGTTTGCCCTTGAAATAATGCCCTTACCTAAATCTTGTTTAGCCCTAGTTATTTGTTTAAAAACAAACACGTATGATGCTATTCTTATCACAAATTTCAAATTAGAGAACTTGGTTCGGAATGAAAGTGGTTTTGACTTCACCATTAGTACATGTATCTTGGGTTTTTATAAATAAATGTGTTTTCCTCTCCTATTCTCTACCTGACCTTGGAACCCATTCATCGGTTTATTTTTTCCAATTGATCAGGGATGCGAGAGGACTCTGGTCTTTGGGACTGCACTTTGGTAAACAGAGAACTCAACCAAAAAAATAAAAGTAAAAATTGCTTGTGATCTTGTAATTTTCCAGGCCTGGGAACCGAGCTAGGCTTATGCCCACCCCCCGATGCCAGCTCAGTCAGGGCTCCTGGACCTTGAACTGTTACCCAAGCCAACCTCCCTGCTGTACCAGCTGCACCGCTCATTCACAGTGACCCAGTTTCCCTTCTTATGTAAGCAGCCTGCACCAGAGAACCAGAGAGAGTAGGCCGGCAGCAGGCAGCGTGTGCGGCCACGGGACGTGTTCTTGGAGAGCCTGTGCCTGCTCCGGAGGATGCCAATATTCTGCTCAGTGTTCCAGGAATTCTGGACACAAGCCTTACACACCAACCTCAAACACTGTGTAATGTTCTTAGAGCCTGGGCTTCTTAGAGGACCCTAAAAAGAAAACCAAAGGGAAGTGAGAAATGAAAAAAAAAATAAAAAATGGCAGATCCTCATGTTTCTCTCTCAGTTTTGTGAACTGTTCACCACTCAACACCTTTACATGACCAGGATTATCTTTTGGTATTAGGCATGTTGTGTTCTGTGTGATGATGCCTTAAAGCAACGAAGTGTAGGCATAATGATCACAAACATGGAGGGAACATTTATGATCTGGGTGTCAGGCTCTGCGTGCTGTTTACATGTATTATGTGATCATCCCCACAGCCCCCTGGGGCAGTGCTGTTAGGGTCTGCATTTCTTTTTTTAAAAATTTTATTTATTGATTTTTAGAGAGAGGAAGAGAGAGGGAGAGAGAAACATCGATGTGCTGCCTCCTGCAGGTCCCCTACCAGGGATCCAGTCTTCAACCCACACATGTGCCCTTGACTGGGAATCAAACTGGCAACCTCCTGGTGCACAGGACGAGGCCCTACCAACTGAGCCACACCAGCCAGGGCTAGGGTCTGCATTTCACTGATGAAAGAACCGAGGCACAGAGAGGCTAACATCTTGCCCAAAGTCACACAGCTAGTGTGTGTCCGGACACCATCCCAGGCAGTACAGCCTCAGAGATCAGAGAGAAGTCGCTCTGCCCAGCTGCCTGGAATCTGTGGGGATGGAGGAGGCCCTGGTTCCTTGGATGTAGGGGAGGGACAGAGCGGAGTGCGTGGAGCTCTTGCACAGCTAACACAATGCAGGTCACACTGAGAGGTGCCAGTAGATGCCCGTGAGCCTTTCAGAGATAAACCGGGATCCTGCATTTTAAACCAACTGCAGTGTCTGGGCAAGCAGAAGGGGAAGGTCCTGGTGGAGAGAAAGGGAATGATGGGGAAAAAAACAACAGTGGAAGGCCACACAGTGAAAGGGACAGAGGACAGAAGGAAAAGAAATGGGACAGGAAAAGATGCTGAGGGGTCAGGGAGAAGACCAGAGAAAAGCCTTGCTGAGAAGTGATGGGAGGTGGTAGTGGGGAGGACAGGATGCAGATGGGAAGAAGAAACCCCACTGGCTCTGGTCCATGCAATTCCGTTGCTAGGTGACATAAGCAGGAAAGGTGGGCCAGGTGGGGGACCAGCGGTCTGTACTCAGAAGCCCTCTGAGGCCATCTGCTCTGGGGAAGGGGCCGGGGTCCTGCAGCCTCGGGGGCTTTCCACCCCTTCTCATTTCCATTGTTCAGTGCAGTTTCTCTCTGTACAAGCCAATTCTCTAGGCATCAGTTTCCTCACCCACAAGATGGGAAGAAGTAAAGCAACATCCCTGAGAGCGAGTTGCAGGTGTTATCTCTTTAATTCACACAAAGACCCAACAAAGCTGAGACTTAGATGAAAAGAGATAACAACTGTACCTCGGGTAGCACAAGGCCAGTTTCCTTAGCTGGGTTATCTTCACCAAATACTGTTGATGGAGGCAGAATGGTAATTTTCTTTCTTTCTCTGTAACTAGACTCGGCTTGCTCATAAAAAAAAAAAATGATGAAAAGCAAAACAAAATCTAACGCAAACAATAAACTTGAGCTTTCCCAACAGGCTCTTCCAAGTTCCTCCTCTACGTCACTTTGCATTTGCTCTGTTAGATAAATGCATCGTGTTTTAAGGTCCTCCCCCCAATCTCTCCTTTCCTCTCCCCGACTACAGTGGAAAGGCAGCAGGCCCTCCTGAGAGTGTCCATGGCTCTTGTCATGTGTGGGCTGGTCCCACTCAGAGGCCACCTGGGCTGTCTCGGGCACTGTCTCCTCAGAGGCGTCCACAGCTCCAGCTGTGTTTCATCCAGCCTCTGCCTGTGGCCTCGGAGTGGTGGCCATCTCCTGGCAGGCGGTCTAGCTCTCAAGTTCGAGTTCTTTGGAGCCTGTGGATGCTTCTGGACCTCCCCTGTGAGAACTTAGAGGAGATGTGGGTAGCAAAGAGAGCATCACAAGGGCTCTTCTGGGCAGAGATTTTTAAATTTGTTTTCTGAGGTATCCCAAGACTTTGCACAGTATGTAGTTGTACATTAGTAGTTTGAAAAATTTTGTTGAATTGAATGAATGATTCTCAGGCCACCTCTCAGCCTAACCGCTGCCATGTCACTGTTTCACGGTCACTTTGACTCTCAATTTACCTGGGGTTTCTACTCCCTCTTCTCAGGGTTTCAAATCTGATGTAGGAATGAGGTTGGGTGGGATCCAGAGCAGAGCTCTTATTTGAGTCTAGACCAGTGGTTCTCAACCTTCTGGCCCTTTAAACATAGTTCCTCATGTTGTGACCCAACCATAAAATTATTTTCGTTGCTACTTCATAACAGTAATGTTGCTACTGTTATGAATCGTAATGTAAATATCTGATATGCAGGATGGTCTTAGGCGACCCCTGGGAAAAGGGTCATTCGACCGCCAAAGGGATCGCGACCTACAGGTTGAGAAACGCTGGTCTAGACTATGTTACTCTTCTCCTCCTTCCCCTGCACAGGAACAAGCTTATTTCCATCCTTTCTAATGGGAAAACAAGCTTACATAGTTTTCTGTTTTCTCCATTTTCTATGTCGTAGAGATAAGGTGACCAAATGTCCTCGTTTTTGCCTGTGGGGGTCATGGTTTATGCCCAGTCTCCCCATGTGATTCACAGAAGTGCCCCTCTTCACTCTCAGAAATGTCTCGCGTGATGAGTTCATGGCCACCTCTAGCTTTGTTAGACACTTTCAGCTCATACCTCCAAATTTAGATTTATTTATGATTTCAAATTTAGCCTTGGGAGTCCCATCAAAACCCTTTTCTCTCTCAAGTTGGGGGCTCTTGCAATGAAAAGTCTTGGCTTTTTGGCCATCGTTCTAGCATCAGTCTATATTGAAAGACAAACAGTGACTTTTTAATTAGGAGAAATAAAAATGTTTCAGAAAAGTAAAAGCAAACATTCAAGTACATCAACAGCGTAGCGCCGCCAATCCATCAAATAATCCAGCGCACTGTGCTGGCGCGTGTTGGTGGACCGCAGATCCGTGAGCAGGGCATCCCATCACCCAGAATTAAGAACTGCTCACATGTTGTCCTCCTAATGAATTTTAGAAAGGAAGTAGTACACCATTATAGCAAGAGCCATTTTTAATAGTGCAGTGACTTTATTCTAGGTGGTGCCTACTCTTCCCCTGAGGGAAGGTCTTTGGGCTGCCAGCGGCCAGGCAGCTGCAGGATAGCTTGCAGAAAGCTATCATTCTTATTCATTTAAAGGAGAGTGTGGTAAGGGTTGAAATAATTCATTAAAATGTTTTAAAATATAAACATTAACTGAGTGCACAGGCTATCGATGAATGCTATTTTCTTCTCCAAATCTATGTGGTAACCCTGCACCTCTTCTTCTGATTGGAGGCTCTGTTTGAATAAAAGTGAAAGGGTATATTCATTCAGTCATTTAGAACAAAAACTGTAATTAATCTTAATTAAAACACATAATTTGATAGGCAAGGTCTTTTGAAATAAATGAACTATGTTGTAAACCATTAAAATACAGGGCCTCAGAGGTTTTCTAAAGGAGGCTGGGAACCCTGTGCATGTACTAGAAGGGCATTACCAGCTGAATTTCAGTGTGTGTTCACCTTCAGATATGATTCTGGTTGCAGCAAAGGATTTGCCCTGAGGAATTCACACCTCCCTCTAGTTCATTTTATAATAGATTGGGGTGTTTTTTTTTTCCTCAGGCTTGTATTAGGGTAAGGAATGGATTACACGCATTACTTTGGCCTCATTAGAAACACAGGCTCACCAGTAGACCCAGGGGGCAGCCGACTCTGCATTAGGGGTCAGGCAGTGACCACTGATGGCTGATCGGAAGTGACCAGGCCCTCCCATAGTCATTATTACTGTGGTTTCCTAAGCATTTCTCCTTAATATCACTGTTGCCCCTGAGACTATGTGCATGTCTGAGAGCAGAAAGTCTTCAAGAGGTTATGGAGGAACAGTGGGGGTTAGTCAAGGCCACTCTGACATTATTACTACCTTTCTTTCTTTCTTCTGCAGTTCTTGTACCTAAGCTTCTTCCTATCTCTCTTCCTTTCCACCTCCCTCCACATCCACAGATGGGGTGGCTGCATTCCTCGCCTTCTTGAAGACGGAGTTCAGCGAGGAGAACCTGGAATTCTGGTTGGCCTGTGAGGAGTTCAAGAAGACCAGGTCAACTGCAAAACTGGTCTCCAAGGCCCATAGGATTTTTGAGGAGTTTGTGGATGTGCAGGCTCCGAGGGAGGTGTGTTGGCAGTGGCAAGCTCTTGTCAGACCTCTATCCATAGCTCCTGGCTCACACCTCCCTCCTCATGGGGGTTTGAGCCAGGCATGATGGGGATTTTGTTTTGAACTGAGCTCACTGGCTCTTGATGAATGGGGGGATCCTTTTAAAAGCAGAGCCAAGGGCTTGTGTAAAGGAGCTCTAGTAGGAGTGCTTTAGCTGTCTGCCAGTTAAACATTGCCCGCAGGAACTGTGTTTCTCTAGAGCAGGGGTCCTCAAACTTTTTAAACAGGGGGCCAGTTCACTGTCCCTCAGACTGTTGGAGGGCCGGACTATAGTTTAAAGAAAAACTATGAACAAATTCCTATGCACACTGCACATATCTTATTTTGAAGTAAAAAAACAAAACGGGAACAAATACAATATTTGTATTTGCATGTGGCCCGCGGGCCGTAGTTTGAGGACCCCTGCTCTAGAGATTCTATAAGGAGAAACACCACTGAATCCATGTGAGTTTTCCTAGTGGAAAGCAGCATGGCTTAATGGAACGAGCATCCACTTTGGAATCTTGTTCCAATCTCAGCTCCACCACTTACTAGCTGTGTGATCTTGGTTAAGTTACCTAGCCTCCCTGAGTCACATTTTCCCGAATGTAAAAGGACCTAATATCACCTTCCTTTCAAGACTACTGTAGGTATTAGGGATAAAGCACCTATTGAGTATTTGTCAATGCTTATTAATTACAGTCATTTATATTATTTTACCAGAACTTCTTATAATTACTTAGAATAAGAAAATGAATTCAATGTACTGCTATTTTGATATATAAAAGGTAAATTTACTTGGGAAGGTTTTATAGAAGAAAAGCATTTGCTGGCAATGAGTTTAGGTGCATTACACACCTAGAACTCTTCAATTGTGCTTTGACTTGGGCTGCAGGAGGCCTTTGGCCAGTGGCCAGGATGCTGTAGGCTTCTTATAATGCTGCTTGGAACAGAGATGTGCATTCTTACCACAGTCTCTCTGCCTGGAGCATTTGTTTTCATAGTAGTTAAGAAAGGACAAGAGGGCAAGCTTACTTTAGGGAACCGGCATTAATACTTGTCTCTAGTCCAGGAGTGGGCAAACTTTTTGACTCGAGGGCCACAATGGGTTCTTAAACTGGACCGGAGGGCCGGAACAAAAGCATGGATGGAGTGTTTGTGTGAACTAATATAAATTCAAAGTAAACATCATTACATAAAAGGGTATGGTCTTTTTTTTTTTTTTTAGTTTTATTCATTTCAAATGGGCCGGATCCGGCCTGCGGGCTGTAGTTTGCCCACGGCTGCTCTAGTCTAACCCTTTGACATTGCAAAGGCCTCTGGATTAAGAGTTAAGTGAATTGGGGTTTTGCCTTGGCTTTGTTACTGACTTTCCATATTACTTTAGACCAGCTTTTTAGTATTTCTATTATCTATAAATTGGAATGAGGAATATCTGGTCTCCAGGCCTCATAGGATTCTTTCTAGAATCAGAAGGGATGACCTCCATGAAACCAGTTTGAAAAGCCTGTCTAGCCTTATATCTATCAGCTGCTGTCATTGATTATTACATAATTAGGACCAGCTGCCAGGCGCCTTGGCCCTTGAGAGCCGGTGACCATGCTGTCTGTTTGTGTCTCCAGGTAAACATAGACTTCCAGACTCGAGAGGCCACGAGGAAGAACATGCAAGAGCCATCCCTGACTTGCTTTGACCAAGCGCAGGGCAAAGTACACAGCCTCATGGAGAAAGACTCTTACCCCAGGTTCCTGAGGTCCAAGATGTACTTAGATTTGCTGTCCCAAAGCCAGAGGAGGCTCAGCTAGACCTCAGATGGGGACTCTTGGAGATCGCTGGCTTTCCCCGCCCCTTGCTGCCAAGACCATATTCTAATGTGAAATGTCAGGGGTGTTCTAAAGCACTGGTGTTTAGGTTGGGAGGCTGGGGTGAGGAGGGGCCATTCCCAAAGTGTAATTCAGTCACCAGAACTGGGATTCTATTTTATTTACCTATGATAATGTTTTGGTTAGTGGTAGCACCTGGCTGCACTCATCCTTCCCGGGGTCAGCAACTTGCCCTCCATAATGCCTTGGGTCATCTCCGCTGAGAAGGCAGATTCTCTAGGCCGGACTAACCTGTAAATAATAGAAATGCAGTTTCCATACCTCCCATACCCTCCTCCGTTAGGATTCCTGACACTCTAACTTGTCCTATACCCCTGTGAGGAAGCGTTAGAAGACTGGCTCACACCTGTGATTTGCTATCACAGTGTAACAGCCAGTTCCGGGTGCTGGGGCCTCACAGTTTAGGAGAGAGGTCTCTGTGGAATCCCGGGTCTCTAGAACTATCATTGACAGGTGACCCCTGGGAGAAGGAGCAAACTCCATGGAGTTGGCTGTTTCTTCCATTTCCATAGGACCAGTGCGCAAAGCTGTGCTCACTGCCCATCTTCGTCTAGGATATTCACAAGACTCCCCTACCCTTGCAAGACCCTTCCAGAAAGGGTCTTGGGAGATGTCCCTCACAGCTTCTGATGCGGAGCTGCTATTAAGAAAGATACAGCTTGCCTATCTTCCTACCTTCTACCAAGAAGTTTCCCAGAAGTTGAACAACCAGGAAATGTAGCACCAGTAGACCTTTCTGCAGTGGGGCACCATATAACCTTTCTGCTGCTTAATGTACTCTCTGCCCTCGCTTCCCTGTGGCATCACACATCACCGATCTCTTAGAATGACAGACAGCTTGGCAAAGGGAGGCGAATTCCCATAGCATGGACAGCTCTCACGGTGCCTACTGCTCTCCCTGTCTCTCTCTGTCCCCCCTCCCATGCAGGTCATGTAGTTATGATGGGGGAGAATGGGAACTTAGGCCGTAACTCTTTCCCAGCTTGCTTCCTGGGAGCGCGCTTTCTTAGAAAGGCCCTTCTCATGAGGGTCACCTTGGCTATTCAGCAGCTTCCTTTTCGATTTCTGACCTTTTGGGATTGAACATGAGGCTAAGAAGATCACTGTGAACATTTGCTTGTGGAGAACCTTCCTAAAATGCTTTCCTGGTACCCTGGGGCTGCTCTTGGAAATATGTCAAGAAAGTCTTTCTTAGAGGAAGAACGAGGCACATGGAACCTGCTCTAGCTGCCCAGGAAAAAAGCTGACTCTGGCACAAGACTGCGGTGCCAAGGAGATGAATCCTCAGCAGAGAGACCAGAAACTGGAAGAGGGCCCTGGAAGAGACTGGCCTCTGGGTGAACTGAATCACAGAGAATGTGGCGAAGGAACCACTGGGATCATTCAAAGTCAATGGACTGGGAGGCATGGCAGGTCTCCAAAACGTTTAGTTTGACTAAATGGAACAGCATCTGACGAGATGTAAGCCCTGGAGTGCAGGTGATTGAGAACTGGGCTGAAGCATTCTCCTCCTGTGGGGTGATGGGCCTTTTTAGACATGCGGGGGTCCCAGTGTTTCCATTCCTGTCCAGAACTGTGCGAATCTCTTCCTTCCTGGGCTGCAGCTAGACAAGGCCAGGAAGGCTCTCGAGTCCCACTGGTGTTGGGCACACTGCCCTGCCATGGCTCATCGTATCCATGAGTGAGGATTGGTGTGCCGGTATGAACCACCGAGGAGAAAGAGAACTCATGCCTATAGTTCTCACACGGGAGACACCAGTGGAATTTCATGTTCAAGAACTCTGAAGCCTCAAGTGGTGTTTCTAGTTAGATCAGGAAGTATTCCCTTGCCCCCACTGGTAAAAAAAAAACCATCCGTAGCTAAAGCTGCCAGGATTAATGTAATGATCAAATTCTCAAACAGGGTATTTTAAACATTGTTTACATACGAAATGTGCATCTGCTGCCAACTCTACTGTCGAAAATGAGGTGCATAGAAATTGGAACAGCATGGAGTTATGGAAATCTGAAATGTTCTAAGAGGGGCCTTTTTACCACTTCCACTATCCCCAGGAGACAAGTCTGAACAAGAGTGTTGTGCGGTGGCCTCATTGGGGCCCTAGAGTTCTTGCCAACTGTTGGTGGAATGAAGGCTTCAGATGGTGGTGTCATGGCGCCTGGTGACTTCCTCCCACGATGGGGAGGCATGAAGGACCAAGTTTGGGTATCCTGAATGTTGCCGCTAAGCGAGGGTATGTGGGCATGTGTGGAGGAACATGATCGCTATGTTTATGATACTCCGTGGAGTGTGTGTGTGTGTGTGTGTGTGTGTGTGTGTGTGTGTGTGTGAGAGAGAGAGAGAGAGAGAGAGAGAGAGAGAGAGAACTGTGAGCATTAGACTAGTAACCACAGAGATGGTTTTCCCGTGGGGTGGAGCTGTCTGCACACGTGTATGTCCTGCTTCCCACAAAAGGCACCGAGCTCTGCGCTCTCATACCTACTTTCAGGCACTTTGGTGATGCCACCCAGATTTTAGTCTGAGACAAAACAAAGAGAAATGTTTACAACATCTAGAGCAATATCCAAGCATACCTCATACCCAACCTTCCACCTCCCGGTCCTGCCTGTCCTATTTCCTCTTCCACAAGCCCTCATCGCCTCGCCTTCTTAGGTGGGCCCCCAAAAGGGACCACTTCTTCCATTTAAAGTCTTCCTTTTGCTTCTGCGGTCGGATTGTGCTGTGAACTGCCTTCTGGGCTCCAGGCGTGCTCTGTGCCTGGGACCTTTGAAGGCCCAGGGCAAGTCGGGGCAGGGGGCCAGGCAAATCTATGACTTTCAGGACCGTTCTCCAACGTGAGTGGCCTTTTGGCCCCATTTGAATGTCAAACTGTTTGGGGGCTGGTGAGGAATTTCCTGTTGCCCTTGGCAAACCAAACAGAGCCGTGATCAGTGACAGCCATTCACAGCCCCGGGCACCACTGGGGTGAGAAAAGGCCCTCGAGCAATATTTATTATTAAACTTGAGCTTCAAGGAAACTGGCCACCCGGGAAAGCCTGTTACAAGTTCTAATTCCCAGGTTCCACGCCCAGAGATGCTGACCCAATAGACCTAGGGTGGGGCCCAGAAGTCTGCATTTTTAATGAGCTCCTAGGTGCGTAGTGAACCACACTCTGAAGAGAGATGGTCTAAGATGGTGGCTCTCACCCTTGGCTGCTCATTGCAAATACCCGGGGGAGTTTTAAAAACCCAAATGTCCAGGTCCCATCCCAGAACAGCTTGGCCCTGGGATCCAAAGCATTAGTAGTTTTTGAAGCTTCACAGGTGATTCCAATGTACAGGTGAGGTTAGGAAGCAGGGGCGTGAGGAGGACACAGCTGAGAGCGGGAAACACCACTGTGCGGGCCAGAGGGCTGGAGCCTCCCCCCTCCCTCCCCCCCCACCCCCCTAGGCCCCAAGATGCACATAAGCATAGGAACCAGGAACCTGCCAGCCCTGAGTATGACTGTTGGGGTGGCAGCCTCTGTGCTCTTTCAGTCTCCCTTGCTCCTTTGGGATACAAATACCATGTTTCTGCTCCAGCTCCATGCATTGTTGGGCAGCAGATATGCCAAAAGTGGGGGCTGAGGGGGATTTGGTTAAGAGAGGTTTTGTCACCCCCCCACCCCCAAGTCTTGTTCACAGTGCTTCCTCCAAGCTGGCCTCCTGGGCTGTTCCCCTGTTTGTTTCCATGCATTCTTGTGTTTGGCCATTTTCCAGTGGTTCTCAACCTTCTGGCCCTTTAAATACAGTTCCTCATGTTGTGACCCAACCATAAAATTATTTTTGTTACTACTTCATAACTGTAATGTTGCTACTGTTATGAATCGTAATGTAAATATCTGATATGCAGGATGGTCTTAGGCGTCCCCTGTGAAAGGGTCGTTTGACCGCCAAAGGGGTCGCGACCCACAGGTTGAGAACCGCTGTGTTAGACTGTGCCTCTCTCCCCAAGGCCATGCGACACAGTAGTTGGAACTCAGGTAGTGGGTGAAGGTGTGTGGTAGTCATCATGGCGGTGGCACAGTAACTTGCAGATTCCTCCAAGGAGGGTGGCACATCCTGGGAATGTCAAGCTCTCTGAGGCTTTCTTTGCCAAGCCTCCAGTGGGGTGCCAGTTCCTGCTCGGAGCCCTCACCATTCCCTCTTTGGTCTCAGGCAGGATGGGCACCTAGAAACTTCCTAGTTGATTTTACCCTTGGTGCTTGCTGCTCTGAATCAGCCGAAGCTGTGGGCGGTGTCCTGCCCAGGCTGCAGGCCCCGGGCACCACTCCTCCACAGGGCAGGATCGGTGTCTGGGCTCTGCAGGCCCTGGGCTGTGAGGGGACGGCATGAACCCTTGGTGTTGAGAGCTGGGCGAGGGAGGAACTGGGAAGACAAGGGGGAGAGGAACAGGGAAGTGGGGTCTGCTTCTCCATGAACCAGAAGGGAGAGGGGGTGAGAGGCACATTCTCAGAGGCAGGATGGGCTCCCACCCATATGAGTGCCCAGCACGCCCCCGACCCTGTCTGTGCCCACGTCCAAGCAAGGCCGAGGGTTTTCGCTTTCCCACTCGCGGCTATCCTTGCATCGGCCTGTGTCAATCCTCTGAAAATCTGGCCCTCTGGGTTGGAAGCAAGAGAGGTGGCAGAGTCACCCTGGCATCAAGATCCTGTGCCACGGGGCAGCAGACTTGGAGGAAGAACGCAGGAGCAGACATGTCTTCCTGTCCCCGGGGCCTCTCTGGACTCCAACTCGATGCTGTGGACCAAATGGGAGACTGCAGGATGGGGACACTGGCCTTCCCGACTGGGGCCTGGGACCTCACAATAAACTGCCCCCCTTTTTTATCCTTATTCCCTTCCTGCTCCCTCCCCTCTGCCAGGTGCAGAAAAGGTGGCCGGTCTGGGTGTGTTCCCCAACCACGGTAGCATTAGCTGAGTCACGCGGCGTGCACGACATTCGTAGCAGCTCATCTGCCACATAGAGCGCTTGGCTGATGGAGTCCTCACTGAGTTGTCTCATTACCGTGCAAAGTCGAATCATGTCACTCACCTTGACTATAAACAAGCCTTGGAGACATAATAAACAGAACCTGAACCCGCTGCCCTTTGCTGTCCGCCCACGTTTCTTTCTGAGGCCCCGCTTTGCATAACACGTGGACGCCCCGGGGGAACATTGGCCCGGACCTCACCCAGCCCAGGCTGGCAGGGGGCCAGCCACCAGGAAAGTGGCGGTGGCGTGGGTGGAAATGGGATGGGGCTGGTCTGGGATGAATGTGGGGGTGGAAAGTGACTTCGGGTTACGAGAGTGCCTTTGAAACTGTAAAAGGCCGTACAAACAGGAGGTGGTATTTGTATTAGTGCCACCTACGGCTGGATAATGCAGGGAGAGAAAGGCTGAGGGATGGCTTGTGTGTTTGTGCAGCTGGGCAATCTGAAACGGAGTGGTTGGTCCTGTTTATGACTGTACTCACTTTATCCAATCGGCGTGCCCCTGAAAAGTGTGCATTCGTCACCGAATCTTTGAATGGCTCTGGTGATCAGGTTCCGTGGAGGGGACAAAGGAGAATGAGGGGTAGTATCTGCTTGCAAAAGCTCCTCATTTTTAGGTGTAGTGATGATAGAGATATACAAAACCTTAACAATCCAAATCATTAAAATGCACCAGAGAAAGGAACGCGGATATTTCTTCTAAGGTGAATGC